CAGGATCCAGGAAGCAGTAACTGTCAAAGAGATCTGTGCCGTGAAAGAGAAACACTGATCTCTACCAGGAAGGATGGAAGAGGAGCCCTGAGGGCAGGATGAAGGCTCCAGGTTCTAAAAGGGAGAGAGCTTGGACTGAATGCTGCTGAGGGCTTCCCTGCTGGGAAACCACCATCTTGAAAAGTTTGGGTTGGTATATATGGTTTTATGCATGTATAAGGTCCCCCATCTACAGGAGTGCTAGATGTCCTCCGTTCTGACACATTTCTTCTTGCCTAACTACTGTGGCTATGACGTCTAAATACTAGGTAAATGGACACATCTTAAAAGGAGACACCCAAATAGACAAATAGCACGTGTTTGATATATATTATATATTTGTTCAATATACATACATGTCTTTGTATATGTTTTATATATATATGTGTGTGTGTGTGTGTGTGTGTGTATTTGTGTGTTCAATATCACTAACTATCCAGGAAGCGAAGATTAAAATCACCAGAGTTCACAACTGTCTGCTGAAAAGATGCTCAGCAGTAAAAAGTGTGTACTTCAGGCTTCATCGCAGAGATGCAAAGATGTTTCAACATACAAAAATCTGTCAAGGTAACCTACCATATAAACAAAGTGAAAGAAAAAATAAACACTTGATCATCTCACTAGATGCTGAAAAATCCTTGGACAAAATCCAATACCCCTTCATAATAAAAAACTTGGAAAGATCAGGGATATAAGGAACACACCTAAACATAATAAAAGCAATATACAACAAGCCGAGTGCCAGCGTCAAATTAAATGGAGAGAAACTCAAAGCAATTCCACTAAAATCAAGATCAAGACAAGGTTGCCCACTCTCCACATTCAGTAGAGAATACTTGAAGCAATAAGACAACTAAAGGAGATCAAGTGGATACAGACTGAAAAGGAAGAAGTCAAAGTATCGTTATTAGTAGATGATATGATAGTGTACACAAGCGACCCCAAAAATTCTATCTTCAGTGAAGTGCCTGGATACCAGATTAATTAAAAAAATTATTAACCCCCTCATATACAAATGATAAATGGGCTGAGAAGGAAATTAGGGAAATAATACCCTTTACAATAGCCACACATAATATGTGGGTGACTCAAATCAAGCAAATGAAAGACCTGTGCAAGAAGAACTTCAAGTCTTTGAAAAAAGAAATTGGAGCAGATATCAAAAGGCGGACAGATCTCCCATGTTCATGGATCAGGTGAATTAACATAGTAAAAATGGCCATTTTATCAAAATCAATCTACAGATTTAACATAATCCCCATGAAAATCGCAACACAACTCCTTACAGACCTTGAAAGAACAGTGCTCAAACTTCGTGTGGAAAAACAAAAAAAACAACAATCCTGTCCAATAAAAGAACTTGCAGAGATATCACCGTCCCCGATTTCAAGCTCTATCACACAGCCATAGCAATAAAATCAGCATGGTGTTGGCATAAAAACAGACAGGTGGGTCAATGTAATTGAATCAAAGACCCTGACATAAATCCCCATACCTGTGAACACCTGACTTTTGATAAAGAAGCCAGAAATCTAAAATGGGAAAAAAAATCTTCAAAAAAAAAATGGTGTTGGACACATAGATGAATGCACATAGATCTGTATCTATCACCTTGTGCAAAACTCAAGTCCAAGTTGATCAAGGCAGATACAGTGAACCTGCTAGAAAAGAAAGTGGGGAATAGCCTTGAACACACTGGCACAGGAGACAGCTCCCCGAACTGAACAGTGATACACGCTGTTCAGCACAGGCACAAAGATCAACAATTAATAAATGGGACCTCATGAAACTGAAAAGTTTCTGTAAGTCAAAGGGCACCGTCAATCGGACAAAACGGCAAAAGGGAAAAGATCTTCACCAATCCAATATCTGACAGAGGGATAATTTCCAAAATATATAGAGATCAAGAAACTAGACATGAAAAAAACCCAAATGGTTCCATTTAAAACTGGGGTATAGATCTAAACAGAGAATTCTCAATAGAAGAATCAGTCTCAAATGGCTGAGAAATACTTAAGGAAATGTTCAACACCCTTAGCCATCAGGGGAATAAAAAATCAAAATGACTCGGGGGATCAGGTTAGGAACACTGGGAACAGGGGCTGTCTCTGACTCTCTTACAGGCTTTTGGAACCCTATACCTCATACTGGATCTCCTGTCACCACCACTCAAATATTACACATAAGTAAAATAAAACAAATATTTGAAAAAATAAATGAAAGCATACCTGTTAGAACGATTAGTATCTTTTGATATTGTTTTATCTTTTTAGATTAAAATACAACAACTTAGGGGCTAGAAAGTTCTCAGTGATTTAAAGCACTTGCTACTTATCCACAGCATCCAAGTCTGGCTCCTAACACATACGCTGGGCAGCTCACAGCCGCCTGGAGCTCCAGCTCTAGGAGATATGATGGCATCTTCTGGCTTCACTGGGCTCATGCACGCTCATGGCGCACTTACATACATATAAATTAAAATAGGTAACAAACATTGGTGGAGGAGAAAATGGGACTTTTACACACTGGTGGGGTGAGCTTTTAGAGAATACATTAAAAAACAAAAACAAAAACAGATCTCCCAAATGATCCTGCTAGGACTAGGGACCTACATACCCAAAGTAAATTAAACCAGGATGTGCTCAGATCTTGACGAGGATGACGGGGATGCTATCATCTGTCTGAACCTGGAGGATGCTGTGGTAGGTGGAATAAGAGGGCAGAAATCCAGGAATGTTGCATGGTTCTATTTACCCGAGGAATCCCAGAACCAATCTCAACAGAGTAAGGGAGTCCAGCTACGGTTCCTATGTGATGCAGACTAGGAGTGGCCAGGATATGGGGTGAGAGCGTGGACAGGAGTCGGTGAGTACGTGATTACAGTGTCTCCATAAGCAAGTGGGAGACATAGGAGAGATGGGTTCAGAATGTACTGTATGCTTGAAATTTGCTGTCCGAATAGAATTTTTAGTGTAGTTGTCATAAATAATTGATAAATGAAGGTAGCCCCTATGTTAAATAGCTTGATTTAGCCATTCATTACACCATAAATATGTATTTCAAAACATTGTCTTTTCATCAGATTTATTTATTTACCTGAAGAAGGGTAGCTCAGGATAGCCTGGAACGCATAATCCTCCTATTTGGCCTCCTAAGTGCTAGGATTATGGGCAAGAACTACCATGCAAAACTCCCTTATTTGCCAATGAAATAAACAAATAACTCAAATGCTTGCTGAAGGAAGAGACGAGGTCCCTGTATATCTCCGCCTCAGCTCTCAAGTCGGGGCAGCATTTGCTGTGCTTGGGGAGAGCCAAATGAGATAATGCAAGCTGAAAGCACTTAGCAGAGTACCTCAAAAACCCTAATTACATTAAATACAGTCCTTTTTCCAGCTACTAATTATCTCATTTAATCCCCATGTTAGCTGACGAGAAGTGCCGTTTTACTGTTGAGAAGCATGTGGCCCTTACAGGGAGAGCTAGGAGTACAGTAGTATGATAGAGTACCACTGAGTCTGCAGGTTACAGGGGAGGCATGTGGGGTTCAGGCACCACACGGTTCCAGTGTTTTCCAGCTAAGGAGAGTTAGCTATAGAAGAATCACCCTAGAGAGCGAATGAACAATACAGAGGATGATCAAACAAATGTTCTATGAATATTTTCTTATTAGGAATAAAATACACAATCACTAGATATGGCGTTAGGTTCGCTCGCATCAATTATCCTGCATACCTCTGCCATCTTGTCAGCAGGACTGTTTCTACAGTTCTTCCTCCAGGGCAGCTGGAGGAATAACACATGGTGTATTCATTTTAAACAGGTACATGGTAGACCTTTGCACACGTGAATACATGACGGCGTGGTGTGGGTTTCCTTCCTGTCATGCTTCCTCTGGAAAAGGGATCAGCAACTTCCTTTCCCACAAAGGACCAGATAATTAATACCTGTACCTTTACACGCAGAAGTTCTCTGTCCCCCTGTCCCACCATTACAGATGACGAGCGTGAAAGCAATAGCAGATCACCAAAAAGAGACAGCTGTGTTTCAGTAAATCTTTATTTACAAGAACAAAGTGCGGGCCCTAAGGGACAACAGGCTAAGGAATGTCTGCCCCTGGTTAAGATGGTTGAATGACTGTACCCCTAGGTGTGCCATGGACTGAGTGGACAAGCACCCCTATGGCAATAATAGGATTGGTTCACCATGTTTCCACGTGAAGCCAAAGCAAAAAAAAAAAAAATATTCAAAATGTGGATGAAGAGGCAGGCTGGGAAATTGTGCTAAGGAGCTGGGCTGATTAACTGGAATTGGTATGATACAAGTTAATGACTAACTGTTGGCTTTTATATTTACAAAACTGACAGCCGGGCTCAGCTCCATCCCACCGGCAGGCAGCAGAAGACAAGCCACCTTTGATAGCCCTTGCTCAAAAACAGTCTGGGGCTGTCACACGTCTGCCTCTCATTTATTCACCAATTCATTCATTCACTCGTTTACACGCTGAGTGTTCAACACTAACAGCCAAGGGGTTGCCAGAGCCTCTGCATAGCCCAGGAGGAGTTTTGACAGCTAATATAAAGTCATTTCTGCCAGCAGGACACTGAGTCTATTGGACAGGACAGATGTCTCTTTACCCAGTCATCCGTTCCTGTGCTTTGTTGACAACTAGGTATCATGGCCACTGACGTGCCAAGATTAGAGTGTGATGCAGAGCTGACAGAGGCAAAGGAACCGGGTCCCAGGCTTCTGGGACCTTAGACTGTAATCTTGGGGACACACACAGAAACAAATAAATTATGACACAGCTTGGTATGTACTGTTGCAGAAATACACACCAAAATACCGCGAGGCCTGGAAGAGCCAAGTGCCCGCTCTCCCCGGGGAGCTGGTGAGCGAACATGCAGGCTGTCTGCGGACAAGGGTTTTCTACCCATTGTCGATTTGTTCTTTATCTTTTTTTTTTTTTTGACAGTTTGTAGGAACTTTATTTTCCTTCCACCTTTTTTCCCTTTGCTCAGGTGTCTGCAGAGGAGCTCAGGACCACTCAGTGGTGGCTCCAACCCACTCGGTGGCCTGCGCTGTGGGAGCTGCTGACCAATCCTCAGTGGTTGGCTGGGCACTCCAGTCTTCAGTAGGGAACTGCTGGATGGGCACCGAGGGCACCTGCACCCCCTCAGACCAGTCAGCCACTTCTGGCTGAGCAGCAGTGAACTCAGGAGCTGGTGCAGTCCATTCGCCCTGAAACTCCTCCTTGGTCACGGCCTTCTCAGCAGCACCCTGTTCTTCCTTCTCAATCTCCTCTGGGTCTCTGTAGAAGTAAAGATCAGGCATAACCTCCCATGGGTGCTCACGGGAGATAGTGCCACGCATGCGGAGTACTTCCCGGGCCAGCATCCACCACATCAGGCCCACTGAATGAGCTTTCCGCGCTGCCCCGGGACGGGTCCATACGGCGTTGTTCCTGGTTCCCGACGTAACTTAAAGGGAAACTTACACAATGTCCGGAGCCCTTGATGTCCTGCAGATGAAGGAGGAGGATGTCCTCAAATTCCTCGCTGCAGGCACCCACTTAGGTGGCACCAACCTCGACTTTCAGATGGAGCAGTATATCTACAAAAGGAAAAGTGATGGCATCTGCAGCATCAACCTGAAGAGGACCTGGGAGAAGCTGCTGCTTGCAGCTCGGGCTATTGTTGCCATCGAGAACCCTGCTGATGTCAGCGTCATCTCCTCCAGGAACACTGGGCAGCGAGCCGTGCTGAAGTTTGCTGCCGCCACAGGAGCCACTCCAATTGCTGGCCGTTTCACCCCAGGGACCTTCACTAACCAGATCCAGGCAGCCTTCAGGGAGCCAAGGCTTCTAGTGGTGACCGATCCCAGGGCTGACCACCAGCCCCTCACAGAGGCGTCTTACGTGAACCTGCCCACCATTGCCCTGTGTAACACAGACTCAGCTCTGCGCTGTGTGGACATCGCCATCCCGTGTTCTTTATCTCAAAGCGGGGGCTTTGAGCCTGCTCACAAGCAGCTAGGAATGCGCGTGCCCGCCCTTGGTCCCAGTTGATGAAGTCATCTACTAGATTATTGGCGAATTCTTCAAACAATCTTCTTTTGCTAATGTAAATAGTGCTTACAAATTTAACTAATTGCCCTTAATTAAGTTAAACTGCAATTATGAATGCGGTCCCCGCTGGGTTGGCGCCAGCACACTTCTCTGATAAAGGTTAAGTGTGTGCAGTAGATTTAGAAATTGGTTAGCTGGCGGTGGTGGCCCGCGCCTTTCATTCTAGCACTCTTGAGGCAGAGGCAGGTGGCTCTCTGTGAGTTCAGAGCCAGCCTGATCTACACAGTAAGTTCCAGGTCAGCCAGTGTTCCATAGGGAGACCCTGTCTCAAAAACAATGATAAAACAAACAAACAAAAACACCAAGAGGATTGGGAAACTCTGGGGAAACGGAAAATCACTTTGAGGTGGGTGAATTGGATGAGGATGCCGTCTAGACAGCTATCAGCAGGTGCTGACTTGAGGAGCAGATTTCTAGGAAGGCATGGAAAGCCAGGCCTCAGAATTATGGAGATGGAGGAGAGAGAGCGTCTGCATCCTCCACACCTGTTAGTCATTAGGTAGGGCTGTGCTGAGGTGGGGGTGAGGCAGCTAATTCCAAGGTTCTTCTGGTGCTCGGAGCAGATGGATTCTGGAAGCCCCAAGGTGATGCCGTGACAAAGATGCAATTAAGGTCACTGAAAGTCATTTGGGGGCCCAGAAATGAGCCCTGTGGATACATAGGTAGAGCAACAGCAGCAGTCTCTGGGTGATTTAGAAAATTCTAGACAGCTTCAAGAGCAGAGGAGACATTCTAAGAAGTAAGGCTTACAGCTGTACTTCCCGTGCCACTAAAACTTGCTCCAAACCGTATAGCACCCAGCACTTTGTCAGGTACCTTGTATTTCTCTACATTTATCATTCTTCCTTCTTGCAAAGTTTTCATTGTAGACATTTGATAGTTTTCCTGGATTGGGGTAATGTGTGTGTGTGTGCACGCACACACCTGTCCAGATTTTTACATGGGTGCTGGTGACCCAAATCTGGGTCCTCATGCTTGTGAATCAAGCATTTTACCCACAAAACCTCTCCAGCCCTCTGGTTGGGGCTATTGCATACCATACCCAATCAAAGAGCAACTTCTCTGACCCACTGAGTCTGAAGGGTCCCTACAGGGCTGCAGGCCAAGTTCGCCAGGCTGAGTGGTACCCATTTAACACAGCCTCCTGAGAAGAGTTACCGATACACCTTCCACATGGGTTTGCCTGTGGGGCTCCTGGGACTCTCCCTGCAAGCAGCGTGCATGAACATCTTCTGGGGCTGGAATTCTACAGCTGTGCCTCTCTTGCTGTCGTTTTACGCTATTGATCTTGCCTGTTAGCTTTATTAAAAGCTCACACGTTTCTCCCCATATTTTATTACAATCCATGCAGCTTTCTGGAGGCTCCATCTCCTAGGAGATGCGTCGTTGGATCCATGTACTCCCTGCATCTCTCCGGGATCCTTGGCTAATTAATGGTTGTGCAACACTGGCTGTGTCCTCTTTCCACTTGGCTGCCTGCATGTGGCCATCAGCACTCCACCAATCTGACTTGACCTTTGGACATCATCTGACCTGATACTTTTAGAATTAATTGACTTATGTATGGGTGGCTAGTTTATGCTTCCTTGATTATTATCCACACACAAGCAAGTATAGGCTTCTATTTTGTACAAAATAATAATATCTGGGCTGGTGAGATGACTCGATGGGTCGAGGCACTTGCAGCCAAGCCTAATGACTTTGTTCCATCTCTGGAAGCCATGTTAGAAGGAGAAAACTGATCTGGCCTCCACTGTGGCGAACACACACACACACACACACACACACACACACACACTTATATGGAGTTGTGGCACAGTTTCATACCAGTAGATCCTGGAGCTAGACTGCCTGCGTTCACAGTTAGGGTTCCCCCACCCAGAGGCTGTGTGGCCTTGAGAAGGTCACTTAATCTCTCTGACAAATTGCAAAATGGGATTAACAGAACATTGCTGGGCTTGGTGCCTGTTGCTAGGTGATTAGGCCAGGGACGTTCTGTATTGCCTGCATGGTTGGCGGGCATTTACTACTTTCTGTGAAGAGCATGGGGTCCCAGCTCCCCTTCTTTGTTGACATCCATGGGATCCCTGAGCCTGTCCTATCATTTTTAACTTTTCAGTATTAAAAACTCTATGGTCACTTTCACTGTTAACTCATAGCTTTTTTTGCAGACATCACTTGTCCCAATTAAATGCAATTATTGCTACTCTTTACCAATTACTGATGCTCAAATTGTTGCCACTTAGCTAGCAGGAGTTCTTTCAAGCTGATTTTCTGAGCCCGTGCTGTGAATGCCTGAAGCAATCCTGCTTTCTGGAGACACAAGGGCACTGTGGGGCTGGGGAGCCAGTTCCGGTAGCACACGTGATGAGTGCCAGACCCAGAATCCAATCCCCAGTTAAAAAGAGAATATTATGACCCTAGGTTGTCTTCCCCCATCCCCAAATGCATGAGATGGGCATCCCAGGGTTCAGGTGTGTGGTGCTAGCAACTGCACCATAGGCTCTGAGCTGGTGCTGAGCAGCATGTCCATCGCTACGAATGCGCCGTTGACCAGCAATGATGGAGCTGCCTTGATCGGAAGTCATGAATTCACTCTCATCGTTCTCGACCTGACAAGTCTGTTTGTGATAGTTCATTTGTCAGCTAGTGTGCAATTCCTCGATGACATGATTTTTGTTGTCGTTGTTGTTGCTGGAGCTGCTGGGTTTTTTTTTTCTTTTGTCTTATCTTGATGGCAAAAAGAAAGATGGAGATAGGAAAATACAGACGCCCAGAAGAGCGGAAAGCACAGGGAGCACAGAGGACAGCCTTGAGGACTTGCTTAATACAAGAAGAACAGGAACTCTGTGGGAACCCAATGACCGCCTGAGCTGCAGACCCCAGGCCCTCTGACCTCCCTGCCCAAGGCACTCCCCTCTCACGATCCTCTCATAACACCAGGCTGGTCTTCCTGGAATGTGTTTCACTGTGACCCGTGGGGCTGCCCAAACGACATCTGGGACTTACGATGGAGTATACACTCCAAAGGGCACGAAAGTTTTAGTTGGAATAGGGCTAATAAATTACAAAACCAGGGTGGTTTAAGATTTAGTTTATTTTTATTTTTACACACACACACCACACACACACACACACACACACACACACACACACACACAGTGCTTTGAGGCCATAGGAGAGAGTCAAATAACCCAGAATTGTTTGTAAACTCTCCAACATGGGTTCCGGGATCCCAATGCAGAACCTCTACAAGAACATTAAGCACTGAGCCATCTCTCCACTCACGTGCTATTTTTAAAAAAGATTTATTTCATTTTTTTTTAACCCAAGAAATTTAACACCAGAAGGTTTTTTTTTTCTTGTTTCTCAGTAAGAATGCCATTGGCTATAGGGTAGCAGCATTCCCTGCAGTGATGTGGGGACTCAGGACTCCACCTGATGACTCCACCATCTGGGTGAGCCGAGGGGTTGTTGGGGAGTCTCCTGAATTTGATCATCACTTGAGAAAAGAGGACAAATGAAGGTCCGTATGTGGAAGACAAATGCAGGGCTAGCACTGTTTACGCTCAACGTCAACTATACCACGGCAGTAGCTTGAACCGGACTCCGCCTAAATGCAAAGGAAGCTGGGAAATGTAGTAACCTAGGCGGTACCCAGGAAGAAGAGCATGAAGGATCCCTATGTACAGACCTGAGCCTGGTTCTGGTCTTTGTCGTATCCTGAGAAACATCTCAGTTCTACAAGAGATGGTTCAAGGGCCTTGACAGGCATTTGCTAACTGAACAAGATGTGAATGATGCAACACTGAGAAACAAGGTAACCGAGGTCAGGCTGCCAGATGTCTTCAGGACTGTGTGTTTGAACACGGCTTTTCTCGTGGAGGCCCAGGGAGATGTCGTGAAGGCATAACACTACTGCTGGCCGAGACACACATAGCTCAAAGCCTCTCCTAAAAAGACAACAGATGGGAACAAAGCGGGGAAGGGGAGGGGAGCTTATCCAACTACCTACTACAGGTGACTTAGTTCTGAGTGCAATCTTGCCTCAAAAGAATTCAGTTGAGAAGGACGCATTTGAAGGTCACCTGAGACAAGGGAGAGAGAAGCTAGGAATTATTTGCTCTGAAAGCAGTTGAAGAAAAAAAAAAGAAAAAGATGAACTATTTTCCCAAGAGAAGGGGAGGCAGAGTGGGAGGGTGAGGAGATGGCCAAGATCGGCATTTGGAAGTCTCCAACGAAATGAAATTCTCTAGGAAGGCCCGTGGCAGGCTGTCAAGAGAGCCGGTCTTACCAGCGAATACAGCAGGCCACACAACATTCGTCCATTCATGACTGACTTAATTGACTTGACATAACCCCTTTGAGGTTTATTTAGGCCACAGCATGTTTCAACCTTGCTTTATTAAGTCCGTTACCTATATATTTCACTTCATTTATCCACTCATCCATTGGTGGGCATGTCCACGGCTTCCAGTTGTTGACATACACTTAATACTACTGAACTGCACACTCATGAACGACTGAGGTACAAGGAAAAAGATGAGGAGATTGCTACCTGGCTGCCACGGGATATCAGAATCCCAAACTCATGGGTAGAGATATGATTTGCCTAAATTCCATCCTAGGTGCTCCTTTTCACCAGGCACAAGTGGTTTTGAACGAATACTTGGACCAACCTCAAAGTCCTTGAGGGTCTAAAGGTCTTCTTGTCTAAGAAGTATATAGCATAGGGTCATGGCGCATTCCCAATGTCCTCTGTCAAGCTGCCTCATGCAGGATAGCTTGCCTAGAATTCCCAGGAGATCGTCTTCCAAGTCTTCATCCTTCTCCTCTGAGATACTTCCAGCGAATGACTAGGAACAGTGTGCGATTTTTGAAGTTCTGGTGTTGAGATCAAACAGACTCAGGTTTGCAAACTTCGCAATCTGTGCACGGCT